ATTTGAAGTGCAAAGTCAAGGCATACGAAGCACTGATCTTCTTATTCTATAACTTTACATGAAGACTTCCCTGCATTTATGGGGTGTCTACTTAACCTTTTACTTTATCAAGTGCTCATAGCTGCATAGGTAGTAAACTTATTGTGGAAGCCGAGTCGAGATCACTCACGGCTGGTTTTCCCTGTCCATCCCCATAATGTATCGCCCATCATTAGAAGTTTTTGCCATTAAAATAGCCACGGTGAAATGGCAAAAGACACCTTAAAACCGAACCTAACAATGGCTACCCTTATCCTATCTACACAACACAGAGAAATCCAAACCGAGTTCTAACTTAGATATGTTCCTACCTTTTCCCATTTAACAATGCCTCCCGCAGTTCTCTCGCCCAAACCTCTCCTTGGCTATGGCATCAAAGCCGAGCCCGACATGCCAACGTGATGCCAAAACCACAGCGCTCTCGAGAAGCGGGATATGAGTAGTAGGCCTGTTGCCTTGAAGCTTCCTTAGCGGTGCCGATTTGCTGATTTTTGACTTGCTGGTGTGGCTTTGGTTGCCGTAGGAATAGGGACTTTTATCTTCGCCGCCCGGCGTGGTGGTGACTCTGATGTCGATGTATCCCGTGTCCTTGAGGTTCAGAGTTTTCCGTGCTAGATCGGTACTGTGACTCCCCGAGGTTCCCCAATGCATTCTACAGGTAGAAATGTCCAGCGATACCATTATAGGAGCGGACAGAGCAAACGGGCGCTGTGAACATGCCAATCAACAAAAATAGTTGAGTTAGATTCGATCTTACGATACCTTCAATAATTATAAAGACTTTCATTCACACTGATATTAGCAAAAAAAGACCTATCATCCTTTGACTCATCTCTTTTCCCCCATTCACGAATTTCCGAGCCATTCTTTGTATAAGCTGTATTCATGGGTAGTCACTCGCTCTACGTGCCCAATCTCTTTTGTGCCGCCAGGACCCCCCGCTCATCTTGCCCTTTCAAAAGCAAATTTATATATAGTCTAAAATCTCGTTCCGAAAACAAGAAATCCTGGACGTCAGCTCTCCCGCCAGGTAGGTATCAGAAACCTTTGAACCCTGCATTGGACCAACCGAAACAAACTCACGAAAACACCTCTCACCACGCCTGCAACCTGTCTAGAGAAACTTCCCAACTGTGATACTACCGAAAGACAGATAAAGACAATAGCAAAACCCAGAAGATCTGAATCTAAGGAACCTGAATAGATGGATTCCCTCCTTCTTCTAAATCTTCCTTTCATCAGAATATCCAGGCTAAAAAAAAAACACCAGTATTATCCTCTTCCCGAAACAAAAGTTTCCCATCACTAGTCCCCGCAACTCACGACTCACAGAGCCATTTCCTTGAACCGCTCAACAAGGCCCAAGCTAATATCACCCCCAGGATAATGGGAAGGATAATATATACCTACCTTCTATGGTTAGTTTCGGAGAGAATGTCCTTCCTTAGGAGCACAATATGAGCTAATATGAGTTCATGACGAGAGTTGATCAGTCACAATAAGAGTTTGCGGCGAGGGTGCAAACAGCGAGAGAGATATGCGTTACAAGGTGTCTGTGAAACTTGCAAGGTTGGTTTTTTTTTCCTTAGCTAGCTTCCGTTACCTGTCTGCGGCGGAGGACATATATGGAGGGGCCTTATGTGTTTTTTCCTTCCTCACAGCTATTTTCCTCACAGCTATTTAGCCTCCAAGATTATTTTTCCTTTGGGGTTTTACTTGTTTTTTTCCGTACACCTTCAGATCTGAATATACTAAGCTTCCGGGAGGATTAGCCAGTAGTCTGTCAAAGCGGAATTGAGGTTTTTTACCCTGGGCTCTCCTCAGGCATTCGGCATGAAGTACCAGAACATTTGAGTCATAATCTAGTGTGGGCACTCACCTGTGCACAGATAATTTGCCACACCTGTATTGCCCAATCCTCTTTCCCCTGTGTTCGGTCTCACTATTGCTTAAGCGTGTTGGATCTGAACTGAAACTTGAAAAGTCGCGGAGATACCTTAATAAAACGAGGAATTACACTCACCCCACAGATTGCTCCAATACTTTGGCCCTGACCCGAGCACCTGTCCCCATTTGCCTGTCAGACTATTGACCAACCAACCCGCGTTTGCCCCCCCCCCCAGTATGCATGCATGCATATGCCCATAATAAGAGCCACCATAAGCCAATCCTCATGATAGTGTATTCTCTCCACGATAGTAATGGACACGAGCATTTTAGGGGAGAGTATTTGGATTATGCTCCAGCATGCCCGTGCCCATCACTAGGCGACAAACCAGGTATAACTCTCAGACATCATACCAAGGTTGATACCCAGGGAAAGTCATAAACCCTCACTCGACTTCGAGGTGCATCCGTGGGTAGAGGTTTCGAAAAGAAAACAAGCCTGTCTCACCAATTTGGGTTTAGGGTCTTGCAGCGCAACAAGAACCATAGCGGCGTAAAGTTCCACAAGAAATTGGAGAATATCCCCCTACTATCTCGTTTCCCCACCATCCCCTACGGCCCAACTACCCCTACGACATGTAACCAAATGGTCAGCAACCTCGTATTGTACCGGGGTTTCCATTCCATACCCCAAGGCGTTCAACCAACCACCCAGAGTGTTCCGATAGCTCAGAGCTCAAACACTCCCGGCATTCTCAATGACCCCGAACACCACTCAAATTGCGATATCTAACCCTGCAGCCTCAGGGATTCATACTGTACTCGAGTAGTCACTGCCACCCAACCCAATCCAAGATCCGCCCTATGACAAATCGGGAAGTTCGACTCCTCGCGTAGAAGCAGCCCCTTCAGAGCTTTCCCCGGAGTGCGGGCCCACAAATTTGTCCGAAAGACTAATAATTCTGACTCTCGTGAGTATACTTGCCCAGATCTGCTATTCCCTTCCCTCTCCCTATCTCACAGGCGCACGCATCTCCCAGCCCTTCATCCGAACTGCACTAATGACCCCAAAGACCCAGGATGATCCCACCCCATGCATGATGTCAACCAATGGTAATAATAGTAAATCCTTAGTCTCTGCAAGATAATGCACCTCGGGGCTCCCTTGTGCCCGCCTAGCAAAGCAGAATCATCTTAGTGCATTGTCGGTCATTGGGTCAATACATTACCGGTACTTGAGCAAACAGCGATGAAGCAGCAACGGGAAGCTACTCAAGGTCACAGCAGGCCAAATCACCTACTCCAGATCTAGATATCCGGGCCCTCCCGGCGATCGCGGAGGGGTGTTCAGCCGCCCACGACTCGACCTCCATTGAGATCCAAGCATAAGGTACCCAGCTCTCGCCTGAGGTTAGTACACGCCCATTGCGAGGCAATTCAATGCAGGCTAAGTTACCCCAGGCACTTCCATGGCCTCCGTCCATGTGGTCTTACACCTCTTAGCCACAAAAGTCAGACCCCGCTTGTAACCTGGCACCTAGGAGAGAAACACCAGGGTCACGGCGGGAGTTTCCACCATCTTCTTTCTTTCCTTTCCCCCGCGCGCCCACTTCCCAGATGGCATGTCGGACGGCCTACACGTGTTGGTGGGAAGAACACCGGATCACCATCACATAACGCGTTCGGGTCTGCTTATCCATCACCCCCTACCATACAAGGTAGAAAAGAAGCTAGGGTGAAAATCGGCTACCGCTGGATTTCACAAGCCAAGCATGATTTCAAGCGTAAAAATTCATATCCTGTGCGACAGCATGGGGTAAAAAACCGGGACTCCCCAACCTCCCCTACCCCCCCCCCGTAAGTATGATAGCATCAACCTTCCAAAATACCGTTACGGCAGTGCAGTCCAACCCTATCCATCCATGCTCTCACCCACAAACATGCCTCCACGATACCGTACGCACAGGGAAGGTAACCAAAAACCCAGAAACTCCTCCATCACCCCCCTCCCACACACACACACACATACACAACAACCCACGCTACCCTTCCCGCTCCTCCACCAATTTCGATCCTTATTTCCAAGCAACCCTCCCTCTGTCCCATCCCCTTATCAAACTTACCCAAAGTTCTCCCTCCCTCCCCACACAACTCCAATCCCCAACATCCGCCCAAAACCACCCCGGCGTATACCCTCCTACCACAGAGAGAAAGGAAGAGAGTAGAAAAGAAAAGAAAAAAGAATTAGAATGAACACATGCTACAACCTCACGCATCAAAAAAAAAAGCCCACACACCGGCCTCAACTCCGAGACATACCCATTCGACCAATCGCGTAACCCAGAAACCGGGTAACGGGTTTTTGTGCAGGATGGAGGACGAAAAGGACTCATTTGGGGTTGGTGCGGTCGATTGGGTCTTTTGAGAATAAGTTGATGGCACCAGGCTGGGGTACTTGGCCTTGAAGGGTGATGGTTTCGAGTGATAGTCCGTGAAGACTCCTTGACCTGAATCCAGCTCCGGTAGCCTATCATCTTTTTGGTAGGGATACTCCAGCGATATTGTATCAGATTTATCCCCCCCCCCCCATAGAAATGGCAAGGACGCTTCTTACGGAAGAAATTCTTCGTTTGAACGTTGAGCGTAACGATAAGCAAAGTTTACTTCAGAGTTGTATCCATGTCAGCTACCCGGATGATAAAATAGAACATGCACATAAAAAACCGGAGAGCTATCATTTCCTTCATTACGTTACACCCAAGAGTATATAACCCCTGTGCCTCGCGAGAGCCCCAGCCAGCCACCACTACACCCTACAAGTACAGTACAAGAACCCCACTGCTGGGAGCAGAGCGACCGAGATACTCGAGTACTATACTCTCATGTGACATTACCCCAAGGCCCGGAGGTACCGCATGATATAACACTTCCCTTGATCTCATATATACTCACTCCAGGGAATGGGGGCTACCTATCGGCTATGCCAACAACCACTAAGACAACACTTGCTAGCTTGAGCGAATACTCGTTGACAACTCCTGCTTAACTGATAATGTGAGAAAACAAGGATCTGACCAAAGACTCCGCTTATTCCAACCAATCTCACACTCAGGATACAGCGATTTCCTAATTCAACCCATACTCCAAAAACAGCAATATGAGAGCATGCATCCCAATACTCGAGATATCATAGCCCGGCGGATAGAGCATTTTAATAGGCCCGAGTCTTTTTGAGGAAGAGCACCATACTTATATACAAGTGAAGTGAAACCCAGGCCAACCAAAGCGGCCAATAAATAGGGAGAAAACAAGAAACAGGATAACAAAGACCAAGTGTTTAAAAGTCTCCCATGCCCACCTCCCCCCCAAATATTCAATATACAGAGAGAAAGGAGAAAGACCCCCGAAGCAAAACACATGCTACATGAGATAAAATAAAGTAAAGCTAAAAACAGAAGAAACGAAAGGAAGAAAGCCGCCTCTCGCCCAAAAGAGAAAAAGTAATGAAAAAACGCCCTCGTGGTGGAATGACTCGTAAAGATGAAAAGCTGGGGTCCTTCTCGTACAAAACCACCGAACAAAAGCCCCATTTCTGTTTTTTTTTTTTTGTAATCCCCATACCGCGTGCGCGCCATGTCCATGAAAGAAAAATTAAACATTGCGCCAGATTTCTCTGTACTTGCCCCATTGCGAAAACCCTAGTATAGCGGTCAGCGGGGTTATCCCGATCAATCCCTACTCCCTCATATGCATCCCACGGTGACATACCAAGTTCTTTATAAGTCCCTTCAAAATCGGCCCAGTCTACGAAACAACCTCGAAGTCCACGCTGCTTCAACTCCATGATAGAAGCACATATTAACCCAAGACCAACTCCTTGGCCCCTGCATTCGGCTAGAGGGTAGACCCACATCAGCAAAGTACAAAGCCATCAGAATCAGGAAATAACTTACCTTTGACACCCATGCAAGCTATACCACCGACCCGCTCTCCTATCATCTTCGGCCATGGTATATCTTTTGATATCTGATTATTCCCTACTGGACTGAAAATCAAAGCTGCTCCGACGATCTCTTGACTTGTGTATGCAATCATGGCATCTGCTATATCATCCGTAGCCTTCAATGCCTGGTATTTGTCCACCCAACCGAGATATGTGCCAAAATTCTTCTCTTCAAACTCAATCAAAGCATCGAATTGATCCGCATTGCAACAACTAAAAGACACCCCCTTTTCATACAGTGGGGGCATGCCCCCTTCTGGAATTGACCATGTGTCGATTTGCATGTACAGGTCGTACAGAAATTTGTCTTCGAGCTTCCAACCCCGATGCGCAAACCAAGAGAGATCCTCACTAGGTAAATCGACGGGCAAGCCAGGAAACAGGCGGGGAAATATACTTCCAAGTTGCAATGATGATATCCCTTGTTGTTTGGACAAATGCCGGACTGCTACCTCGTGCAAAGACAGCCCAATCCCCAAATTCCTTCGTCACCAGATCAGAAAATGCTTAGCAAATCACAAGGGAAAGAGTCGAAGATCTGAGTACACCGGGTATAACACTCACCGATGAGAAGGTCGGACGATTAACAAAGCCAGGCTTCCGACAAGTTGGGAGGGGCCGGCCATAACGGTGTAGGTTGCAACAAGTCCTAAGAGCTCGTTGGTCATGGCGCGGCGGACTACGAAGTGTTTCGAATAACCGGGACGATCTAGCAAAGCACTGAGCGTGCTTGCATCCAGTGGCCATTTTCGCCCTAAGCAATCTCGCCATAAGTCTGCTGAGGCAAAAAGGTCTCGTCTCTTTTCCCATACCTCAACAAACCACAAACGCTGTTGGCGAAGGGCCGGCGTGCCAGGTATACTGATAGGGAGCGACCCCGAAGCATGGCGCTCGCCAAATATCACAGCAGCCGCTGTTTCCAGGGCCATCGGAGAATATTCATAGGTACAGATATATGTCCCAACTACACAACATCAGTCATGGTAAAAGCGCAGAGATTAAGATTTTCTCACATGTCCTATCAGTCAAAAGTTCGTAGGGATCACAAGCAGCTAATGTTACTAGAGGTTTATTCAGACAGAGGCGGTGAACCGCTCCGGCAGTTTCAAGCTGCGAATTGGTATTCGGGCGGTTCGCACTAGCTGCCACGAAAATAACAGCTGCTGCCCGTCTTATGAGAGCAACATGCGTCGAGGTGATACCCCGCACCGTATAAGGCGCATGCCTAACTTTCGGATGATGTCGAGCGAGGGCTCGACCCAAACACTCAAATGGGTCTATGGGGAGTTCATCTGGCCCTCGATGATAGAGTGGTCTTACAACCGGGGTCAGAAGGAGGATGTTATCAGTGCTCCTGATCCGTGAAGACAATGGGAGTAATGACTTTTCGTCTCGAACCACTGTTATAGAGTTCTCGTATACCGTTCGCGCCAAAGCCTGATGTTCCTGCATTAGAGAAGATAAACGTTGGGGATCTGGGGCCGCCAGAGCTGTCCTCCAACTCAAATAATGTTCCTTCAGTTGTAGCGCCCTTCTAGAAGAACGATAAATATCGCTCCTGGCTATCTTCTCAGTCCCAATGGCCTCATATACTGCTTCAATTGCTTTTCTTTGGGCTTCTGGCTTGTCATATATTTGGAGCATGTCACAACCAGCCTTAACCGCTATTACTGCCGCCTCCCTAACATCGAGTCCCCGCCCATAGCCAGGCATGTCTGTCACATCGCACACCGTGAGCCCATCGTATCCCAACTGCCTCCGAAGTACCTCATGAATAATATGCTTTGCATCGGCTGGGACCGTAGTTCCTCCATCACCTAGCAGGCTTTCCCCCCAGATTGAGGAGGTCAACATGACACTATCCAGTCCGGCCGATACTGCCCTCCGAAAGGGAATCAACTCATTTACGCCTAGCTCATCCCGAGTTTTGAAGTTGAAAGTAGAGCTCCTACTTCCGTCCTTATTTGTTATCTGTCCAGTGCCAGGGAAATGTTTCGCACAGTGGCCGATACCCCCAGCCCTCAGTCCCTCAGCGAAGGCAACACCATAACGCCCCACCACCTGCGGGTCATCCCCGAAAGCCCTGACACCGATCACAGATGAGTTTGATTCGCTGATCACATCCAGTAGAGGAGCAAAGTTCCAGTTGATCCCCACAGCCACCAACTCTTTTGCTGTAGCTTTGGCAACATCGAACGCTTGACTTGGCGATCTAGTTGCTCCCAAAGCCATCGCCCCAGGAAAGTGAGTACCTCGTATTCCGTCGCCTAATCGACTTATCTGTACCACGTCAGCCGAGCTGTAACACAAACACAGGTGGAACCATAACAATGCATGGCAGCATACCATTCCATTTTCCTGATATATTCCAATAATGAGGGGCCTCTGAAATCCTGTTGACTGTGCAATATTCTGTAGATCTTGTGTTAGGCGTGCCAATTGAACACCATCTGTGCAGCCGTCAGAACCAGGCCCTATACAAAACTCTCGTAAACCCCCGCAGCTTCAGGACTGGAATTCACTGACCTCGAATGTTCCGCCGTGTTAACAGTATGTTTCCAACATAATATTTCTCAATCATCATCCGGATATCAGGGGTTACTGTGAGCCCTTCGAATCCTACCATAACCATTTGCCCTACAAGCCTTGATAATCTGTCAGGGGCTTCCAAAGAAACGTGCGGAGAGGTAATTGGTAGATACCGTAGAGTTTCATCGTCAAGCTGTAGCGACCCAGAAGGGCTCATACGAGGTTGCGCAGGATTGGCCTACAACAGATTAGTTAGTTCAGTCAGCGACAACAAAAGAAAAAAAAAAAGATAAAAAGTAGAAGACCACAAACCGTCATCATCCTATCTAGGGATCTCCCAACTCCCCCAAAAGTGTGGTGAAGAGATGAAGATGAAGACAACTTCCGAGCTATGAGTTTCCCAGCACACAGGTTTTTGTAGCAAAGTCGTATCCAGAACTCATCTGCTACCCGACCAAGCACTGTGTAACCAAAAGAAATCTCGGAAGCTGTGCCGGGATATTAAAAGGAGGATATTTAGCTCAACGCTGCAGGAGTGGCCGTAACGGTATACCCGTGTGAGGCACCTGCCCCGACCGTAAGGGTGATGGATAGAGATGAGGTTAAGTATTCGTAGCAAGAAGGTAAAAATAATAATAAATAATTTAACGAGCCAGAGCTCGTTGACACGACGTTCTCGGGGATAAAGGGTTAGAGCGAAGCCAAAGAGCAGGAAAAAAAAAAAAAAAACGCCGAGAAATGCGGCTTCTTGCACGGAGTACCACGGTGGTTTCCCGGTTGTTACCCCAGAACGGCGACAAGGTCAAGCCTCACAGTAAAGAGCAAGGAGGTCAATGTATAATAACGGAGGCAACACAACCACGACGTTAAGAGTAACAATGACCCGCCTGAGGAACGGGCGAGGAGCGTGGGAGGGAGAGGGTGAAGGAGGGGGACGAGGAAATAGTGGAAAAAAAATTGAAGAAATGAAAGAAATGAAAGGAAAAAAAAACACGCAAGAGAATCACCGAGACAACACCAAAGAAAATGGAGAAATGACCAAAAGGAAGGGGAAAGAGAGGGGAGGAAGGGGAAGAGAGGAAGAAGGGAGGAATGGAGGAAGGGAGGAAAGGAAGGTCGATTCGCGAGAAAGCGAGAGGAAAATGAATGATTTGATCAAGCAAGTGAGCCAGCCTACCTTGCGCATCAAAAAGTGTAACATACGGCACTGAGAGTTGCACGAAGATGGAAAGACGCGCGTGCCTATAGGGTTCTCGGACAGAAAGTATCCGTACACAGATATCCACGGGTACAAAAGTAACTCCCAAAGTAGTATCTTGTGTTTTGTCCACAGTTGAGTGTCAGTACCGGTACTGAAAGTGACACCAACCCTCGCCCCTCCCTTTCTCCTCCCCTACCGTGGGACATTCGACATACCGTACCGGTATCACATCTCCCTCGATAAGTTACCGTAGGGCACTCGTTGGCATAGCCACTCCCCTCTTCCTCTCTCTTCCTCCTCCTCCTATCCCACCACCATCCACGATCGGAGCACCACCAGGCTTCAGGCTCTGCACTGGGAAGACCGCGCAACGTTGCACCGCAGATTGGGTCGGCAGGGAATATATTGTCACACAGCGCGAGTGGGCACGGAAGTGTGACACAAAATGAGGAAGGGAGTACCGTACCGTACCCAACTCGACAATTTCCCAGGCCACTCCAGCCATCAAGGAGCGCGGGGGCCGAGTAGGAAGGATAATGTAGCCTACCGCCCTTGTAAAAAGGCTCAACGTTCCAACCATGAGGCCTAATAAATGGTATTATATGAAAATATTCAGGCATCCTCCATACATTGTATATGGCCATCTTGTAAAATCCCCCAGTTGGCCAGCGTCTCCGATAAGACTCGGGGATCGTTGGAGACCGGGCTCCCCCATTTGGTTCGCGTCATTTTCTCTACAGTGACGATCACCGTTGCAGTGCCCGAGAGCTTGGACGGCACAAGCACAACGCAGCCACGCTAAGCCAATATTGGCCTTCTCACAGGCTTACCTCATTCTTAAAAAGCAACTTTAAGAAGCTTCCCCTGCCTGTGCGACTCTTCCTCCAAATACCGGTACTCGAGCACCGGTAGTCCAGAATCCCCTACAGTAGATTACTTGTATGGTTGAACAGAGATGCCCTAGTGCGACACGTTGTGGTTCAGCAAGCCTAATTTGACGGGAACCTCCATGCGAACACGCGAAGCTCTGAAGTACTAGTACAATATGATACCAAGATTCGCCGAAAAAAAGTGTCTCCAAGCCACAAGCTCCCCCGTTGGGGTAGTGGAATGCTGCCAACATAAAATTTAAGGAGACTGTCAGGCCAAGTCTGTGGTATAACAAGGATAAGTGGAAAGGGGAAGAACCTCTGCTGCTGCTATACCTCGAGGATCTAGATACAACAGCTCAATGAAGATGAGCACCAGGTTCAAGCCTTCCAGGGAACCTCTTTTTCATATCCCTCTCGCATTTTACCCTACCGGTATCTACCCGGGCTCCACTCGAGTATGTGCACCTGTGAGCTGCGGCGGTTAATTGGTGGCCTGGTATCATACTCGCACAAGTGAGGTGGCTAGGATGGGCCTAATCGAGTACCGGTACGTACCCTACAGTTATTCCCACACGGAATTCCCCTCTAGGGTAACCTTCCATTGCCTAGCTTTTTTACCCATCACTCGGCGGTACTGTGCCCCTTCTCAGCGGCTCAAGAGCCGACTCGCAAACACCGTAAGTTAAGAGACCCGAATAATGATTCGTACAAGTAAAAGGCTCGGAAATTAATAGTCAAGAGATATTGAGTTCTAGACTGTGTTCAGCTTTGCGGCCTTTGCCAAGTGTACCGGTATCTGGTCCACCGGGGGAGTTTGGAGCGAGGTTTGTTGTAAGGGGGTCTCGCAATTTTCTTTTTTGTATCATGGTTAAATTGTATGGACGCAGGAAGCTGATGGAAGAATGGTGGGGATGGGCTGAAATGCTCGCTAACATTGCTTCATTCAACTCGATAAGTATCCGCCGTGCAACGTCGCAATAGTCTCTCGTGGTCGAGTACCGTACTGTACTCGTGTAGCGTACCATACAGTACAAGTACCGTCTCATGCTCTCTCAATTAACCATCTACTGTAGCGCTGAGTATTCGCCGTCCGACCGCTTACGGGCCCGACCGGCGGGCCGGGTATCTTTCGGCGGTTTGTAATCAGGATGAAGCATAACGTACTCTACTCGTACGCACGATACTTATCTCTCAGGGATTCGCTATGGATACTTATGCAAGGCATATATAAATTATATATTTCTACATCTTCTTGAGCGCCCGGCCATATCTGCAATCGAGCAGAACCAAGGCTAGCAGCAAGCACACCGGTAGCGGCGCGGCGGACTTTCCGCACTTGTACTGTACAAGTACGAGTACGGGGGTGCATGAGGCACCAGTAAGTTGGAAAAATAGACTGCGTGACACACCCACAACTACCCATCGCGCCCCACATAAAGGTCACTTGAGCATTGGATCGAAAGATGGGTGCTCGGAGGGGGAGGGGAGAACACCTGATTCAGTCAATCACTCACAGGTATGATACTTGTACAAGCAAGTATTGTGGGATACAAGTGACATGGGTCGTAACTTCACAAACCTAGCACTTGTGCTACGTAACCTGTGTATGGACGGATATACAGGTATCACATCGATGCTACTCCTTGCCCAACAGCGCACAGAAGTTCGACACACCCATACCGGTACTGGCACTCAAGGGTATCGATGCACAGTGTCCTGCTCTTCACCCTTTGGAGTTCCGAGAGTCCACCTTCCGCACCACTGTCATACTTGTACAACTGACCAAGGGCAGCCTACATAATCTAGAGTCGCGGTAGTGTACGGGTGTGATTCGGAATCGCGTGGAAGTGTATGGTGGCAAATTGATTGTGTTTTGGATGGCGCTTTGGACCGAGGTATAATGTGAGACATGAGGCACGCCGATCCGACAGACGATGAACAAGCGCGGGATAGACGCGTCTCTCGCCCATCCACCATAGCCACTTCAGCAAGGCCAATGGAAGCACCTCTCTGTTGAGTGAGACCTCAGAACCTGTATCTTTTTTCCCAGTTGTCTCCCCCGTTGCTTTTGCGCCTGCTGCCGATATTTCCATCTCGTCTCCCTCCTCCCCCCCTTTTCCTCCCGCACTCCACCACTCCCCCGCCGCCCCCCATTCCGACACCAATACCAGCAGAGCAAAGTTTCCCCTGATCAGTCAGCCTTCGTGTCTCACAAACCCCGAACTGACAATGCCTTCGGCACCTGGAAGCCAAGGTAACTACCATACCCCCTTCTACGCCTTCCCGGTTCTTGATTGCTGGCTTGATGTTTGCAATTATGCGCATCAATCACTCTTGCAAATCCTTAGATATTTTATTTTTTCTTTCTTTATCTTTTAGGGGAAAGAAACACTAACCTGTAAAATTAGAGTACAATCCCCCCCCCGAGGATGTGGAGAGCCTAATTGACCAGCTTCATGGAGGTATGTTGCTTAATCAGATCGCATAATGCAACCTGCTTACTCTGCCCAGCTGCTTCGATTCGAAACTCTCATTCGAAAAACCGGATTGCGAGTGTCATAGACTCAATATCCCAGCACGCGACGGTTTGTGGCTTGGCCAATGATAGCCTGGAAACTCTCATTGATGTCTTAGCTACCTCGCCATGCTATCTCGACCAGTCCTCTGTGGGAAGTATCGTCAAGATATTGTTTCCGAGGAGAAAAGTGTCTGAAAATGTTGTGGTTAAGGTAGTTGGAAGCCTCGGCCAAGGGCAAAGCAAGCCTTCCCTTGCAACGCAGGTACTCATATCGATACATCGCATTTTTCTCTAAATACAGACTTACTCGTAAAGGCCCTCTTGTTGCGTTGGTTGGTAATGGTATACGATTTCCTAGAGTCCTATGATGTTCTCTCGCAGCTCTATGGCGTTCTATTCAACCTTCTGGATATGATCACGTTGAGGTATGTCCTTCTCCAAAAGAAAAGAAGGAGAAAGAAAGAAAAAAAGAAAAACTACCTGTAAAGGGAGCTCTCATCTAACAATTCTTAGAGGTCATTTGTGCCATATTTTGTCTTCCCTTACGCGAAGAAAACACGTCAAGCCTTTCCGTATCCAGGCTTTGTATGTTTTGCTGTTTAAATTTTCGGCGATATAATTGCACTCTCTCGGTGTTTAGGATTCATAGCTGACATCACTAGATTGGCGCACAAACAGAGCCTGGGGAATGAGCAGCCCTTGCTTGGTCTACTCCAAGTTTACAAGGACTACTACCCCGATGTGATTGTGGGAGAAATCACTACTGCTAGAGCTGGGGTTTTTTCCGTAACTGCCACCTCCCCCGATCAGTACTGCACTCTTCTTCGCTCTGTCTAACCGACTGAAATTTCATGGTCAGCATCCAAACATAGAATGGATGCAAAAGCTTCTTCTAATTCAAGAATCGAATGCCGACGATTATTCTGGTCCATCCGACACTCGGTCTTCATTTAGGATTGTGAGAAAGATTGGTGGCCGAGCCATGAAAAGGCAAAAAACAAACCATATTGCGATACCTGAGGTTCACACATTTCGCTCAATTGAGGTAATGTTATTATTGTCTTTTGAGCAAGTATGCCGGTATACTCACTCGGCGAATAGGCCTCGGTTACCTTGGAAGATGTTGAAGATGTGAGCGACTTCGTTAAAAAGCTGGATAAACTCGAGTTGCCAAATCAGCTTGTGGCTGTGCTGGAGGATCCGTTGCTTCGGAAATTAATCTCTTTGAAACCGTCAGGTGCCAACTACCATTACCCACAGAGAGATATAGATCAGAAATTTGACTAATCGATCTAATAGATGGGGCAAACCTGAGGATCAATAATTGGCTAGCAGCATGTTTATCTGGCGAGCTTGATTCGCCCTCTGTCTCGGATCTCAGGAGCGCGGATAGAACCGAGCAGTTCCTTTCTCGAGTTTTGGAATACACGCGTTCCGCGAGGGTTCGATAAGATCACAACCAATGTATTGGTTTCGTACCGAAGGCTGACAGCTGGATCTTTGTGTAGCGTTTGCTGCCTGCAGTTGAGGATTTCCTGAAGAACTACTTGCGGGCTTGGGACGGGAATTCCCACACCTCGACCCTACTGGGCCTCCTGTGCTTCCTTCCTATTCGGGAGTTTGAAGGTAGGTTTTAGAAAGGTCCCTCTTTATCATTGTCTGACTGCTTTGTGCAGAACTGCACAGAAAATTTTTTACTCTTGTAGATTGTCAGCTCAACGGTCGTGATGAGACCTCAACAATAAAGTTAGTCGCCTTCTACACTGAGCTCATCCGTCAGTGGGCTATCACGTACGGAAATCAAGCCCAGGAAATTGAGTTCTCCGAGGAGGAGTCTCTAGCCTTGCGCAATACTCTGAGTCATGTAGGCCAAATATGTTTGGTCGGCCTTGCGGTATTTTTAGCTCTAGCCTAGAATCACTGAGTGTGTGCTAATTTGTATTTTAGAACTTTCCGGGGTCAAATTTGATAGCCGATGCGATATTATGCTTCTATGAAGGCACTTGCGCAACTCCATGGGAAAACGGGCTTTTCCGCATTGTTCTGCCTCCTGATCAAGTGGTGTACTACTTCGTCTTCTCTGGTGATGTTATGACACTGTCAAGGATCTGCGGCATACTATCCAAGTTCGGATTTTCTCTCGCTTCACAGTGCAGCCTCGCTAATCAATTGCTACCCATCTAGATACAAGCGCGGGTTCGAGCTTTCACTACGACAAGCTCAATCTGGTCACCCAAATGGGGCGGGGGAATACCCTCGAGATTATGTAAACCATTTCAATGGATTTTTGATGGACATATGTAACCTGGTCTGGAGAAACCGTGCCTTCAAATGGGGCGGATCAGACTCAAAGCAAGACCAGAATGCTCTAGGTTGTACCCTCGCAAAGTAAGAGCCCCCCTTTTATACCCGATCTGTCATTCCTTTCTTTTGGCGAGAAATGTGCACGTACCCGCCGGTTTGGGTGGCGTCGGCGTGTTCCAAGGTTATGAATGAAGCCGAAACACTAATCATCAGTAGTAATGTCGCACTTTCCCTCCAGAGAGCAGTAGACGAGCGCGAAGAGTCCCTTCTTACCTTGTTCTCACTCTCACATTCCGCGGTTCTTGCGCAGTTCTCTGCTGAATGTTTCCGGATGTTGGAGAACGCCAACGATTCAGAAATGCGTGGGATTCGACACGCTGGGCCGGTGACACAGAAGTCATTACAATTACTTGCGACGGTACGTACTGCGCACGAATTCTCTACGAAGCCGATCCTTTACCAAATATGCTGACCGCTGGGTGCCCTCGGCTTCCCCTTCGTGTAATTTCAGAACGGAGGACTAAAGATAACATATTCGGACTTCCGGGTGGCAGTGCTGAGAGCTCTTGGCAAAAAAGGTTTGGGTGGGATTTGGGATTTTATGCACAGTACGATGATATCTCTGATCCAGTTGACATCGGGAGCGGATTCGTCTCGCGCTGCTTCATTGGGCTAGTTTATTTGGGGGATAATTCTTGTATCACGGGGATAGATATAACTACAGGGTCGAAATCGACATGCGTTGGTGTGATGGTGAGAGGAGAACTAAGGCTTTTTTCAATATTATTTTCAATATTACAATGTGATTGACGCGGATTTGGGGTGGGGGGGTAGCCCTTGATGAGGACCGATGTGCTCCTCCGGCAAACCCGATATCGACCTCTCAGAGCACAGTAACGCTGGCCTTTGGCCCTGCACGGAGCCACTCTCGGTTCTCGCCTTAGGAAAATTCTGATTCGTGTCGGTCTCACCGAACCGTCACGGGGTGTCACGAAGGAGCTACAAGTACAGTACACGTAGAGGAACGCCATGGGGTGATACCCAAGGAACTGGATACATGTGCGAGTAACGGTACTCGAGCACAGTACTTGTACCGGGCATGGTTATCCCTCGCTTACATCCAGAAGACCCCCTGTTTGTACTCGAGTGCCTTCTTATTGGCCCACCATGTACCGTATGAGTGCTCGTGCAAACATAACCCCGAGCCCGCACTCCGGTATGATATGTACGCAGGAGCCAAATAAGTTAGACGAACAGAAGCAGCACTGTAGACTAAGTTGCCGGTAAATTTAAGTATTGAAGGAGGATTAGATACTCGAGGTGTATCGTACTAGTACAAATTCGGTAAGGTAGATATATCATACATTACTCCGTAGAGATCTGGTATCCGCTCGTATGGTTATGCACGCAAAAGAAAAAGAAAAAAGAAAAAAAGCGACCCAGTGAGCGACCAGAACATTACTCCCACATAGTAAACAGGAATTGAAAAACATTAATTACGAGGCAGCTCACCAGCCTCCCTCCCTTTATGATCACCCTATCCTCGTATTCAAGCATGCATTAAACTTTTTTTTTCTAATCCTCAAAGGAGAACACCATCCTACTCTACCCGCCAGTCTTATACATTTCAACCTCCCCTCAATTGGTGCTATTACTGATGGATTTGCCCTTCTAAACTCCAGTCTGACCAGGGGGAGAAGAGCAGAGCTCTCCCAATCTTCCCCTTTACCGCCACAGCAATAGCAATATCAATTCATCGACGCGGGTATCGGAGCATGAACCAACTCCTCATCCCCCGCGTAGTAAAACCAAGCTCTCGAGGCGATGGTATGGATATGATGAGGCAGGTACAAGGAGGCTGCGAGGATCAGCATGGAGAGGAATACGAATAGGAAGGAGTCTGTCACATTGGTCAACCAATCGTTGCTGGAGCCCGGGAGGAATCTACGATCTAAGATTAGGTGAGGGAGAGGAAAAAAAGGAAATAAACATACTGAAGATGATCTTCTCAGTTGGGGTAAGCATGTACAGCGAGAAGGTAACCTCGTACTGGTACCGCTTCCGCTGGAGAAGCTGGATGAGTGACGAGGAGGACATCGGTTGCTTGCTCGGTTTCGTCCGTTCTTTCGTCCGTGGTCCGGTAGTGTGTGTGTGTGTGATGGATAAAGGTGTACGGTAGTGGAATGAGTGAGTGAGATGAGTAGACAAGAAATTGTTTCCCAAGCTGGATTTGTAAGGTATGTACGGTAGGTGGGGGTTTTTTTTTTGTTCTTTTCGGCTAAACTGGACGGAAAAGGGGGCGTGTTCCACCGTTGTACGACAGACTAATTAGGGAAAAAAGAACCCCCCAATTACCGGTGGAAAAAAGAAAGAAAGAAAGAGCCTTTTTAGTCGGGTTTGTTTGTAAATTCCCGAAAAGGAGTGAAAGGGAGCCCAAAGGTCGCCGAGCTCTTTTCTTTCTTTTTCTTCTTCAGAGCTTGGTTGAGTAATAGCGTTCACCAGAGGCGTAGAGTGCCAGTAGTGGAAGTGTTGCTCTGAAGAACCAAGATATCGGCACTGTGAATGCCCGAGCTTAGTGGCTTGCCAAGTAGTGGTAATTAAACACAGAGCCCAGAGAGGGGGGGTTTGCGACCTTTAGGGAATCTGCGATACTGTAGTTTGCCGGTAATGGGGTGGGAGTGGTTTCAGAAACGGGTTTGCGAGGGATCTTGGAGGGGCCGGACGGAGCTTTGTATTGTCGCGTTCTTCTCGGGCCCGGCGACGGATGGATGCATTGTTGGTTGTTGATTGGACGGGGCTACAGCAGGGAGGATCCGCTCTTCTTCATTGTCGGACGGGAAGATGAGGGATCCGCGTCCGATGAAACTTTGCTTTGATTGGAGGATCAAAGAGTTGGATAAAGGTGAGGTAGGGTAACGGTGGGTGATAATAGTCTACCGGCAGATTGCGCGTGTTTGCTCGCTGGTGTATCCTAGGAGTGCTAGCACAGTAGTCGAGTAGCCGCCCCAGGCAAGAGGCCACCCAAACACCGTGGCTACACTATAATTTCGCCTGTGCGCACAGATATGCACGGACGATTAGCCATGTATTTTTTTCAATCCCTGTGCTCGGGTACTGTACTTGTACGAGTACCTCTCGCCAGAGGCGGACACAACTAGGTACGAGTACTGTGCCGGTGGTACAAAAAGCGTAATGTATACCGTATTGAGATGCCTTATTAAAGGGCCAGCCATGGGTCTATGACTACAAATTTTTGGCTGATATCTCCATCATTGTACTTCGAATTACGTTTATCGATGTCCCTACGAAGCTCTTCTGCTCCGAGATGCCTTCATCCAACCCATCGTCGCAGTTGACGTTGGAACACTCATGCCAAGCACAAAGCACAGTGGCGAGGCAATCAATCAAAACCACCCTCCCAACTCTCTCCCCCCAACTCAATTTCCAATATCCAATCCAAGCCGCAGAAACGTCGACATCGTATAAAGAGGGAATATACGAAGCCCTCGTGCCTGCGAGGCGGCTAATATAGGAACGGGAAGGAACACCCCCATATGCATGCCCGAACCTGCAAACCGTGAAATCCACTTCTCGAAGAAACCAGGATCCACCACCATACCCGCACAATTCCCGAGAAAGAAAAAAAAAAAGACGCTCTTGGGGAAAGTTCCACCGCTTTTGCTTTTTCAATATCTCTCCATTCTGGTTCATTTTTATGAGGCTACCGTACTCGAGTACCGTACAAGTACTGGCATGCATACCGGTAGTCTATCGGACGCCGGATGGTGCTGCTGTGGCGGGTTTGCAGTTTATTGTCATGGGATGAGGGTGGTGCTGTGAGTACTCGTACTTGTACAGTACTGCCCTCATTTGGCATGTGTGCTCAGTGCAGTGCCGTACTGGTACTTGTGAATATGGCGGGCTTGCCGTGATCAAGGGAAAGAGGCGTCAGGTCGGGGTGTACAGGAGCACAAGCACTCCCTTACGTTGATATGATAGGTCGCTGTGCCGGTGCTACTAGTACACCTCTCCTCCACTTTCGTGCTTCTCGTGCTAAGGCTTTTCTCACGAGGCACGAAGGGAACATACCGGTTAACATCCAATGGGTTATTTTTATATACCTCTTTAAGGCTCTGTGTTACCGGGGAGTTGGTGAAGTAGCACGGGGATAGCTGGCTGGACGGTGAGTCACCAGGGGTTAAGAGAAGTGGGGAAGAAAAACAAATGTGTAATCTGATGGAATCGGCTTTTCTTTCTTTCCTTTTTGGAGGTTGGGGTGGGAAAGACAGTGCTTTTGTGGTGCGATTGTCGACAGAACGGAAACGGATTATGGTGGTACTCGAGTGCCTCGTTCGTATGCACCAAGTACATGTGCTCTTCTGGCACGGTCTCAAACGGGGGGAGGCACCACGAATATGATACCGTAACTTAGCTACGGTACCGGCGGGCAGCGAACAGGGATCAGATAACAGGTAATTTTTTTTGTTACCCTACATTGATGAATCCACCTCTTTTTCCTGCCCAATACCCTAAATTCTGGGTAAACTTGACCCCGCCACTATTCTCTCTGTGGCACTTACTATGGTATCCCCAGAAAGGCGCATTTTCCACAGGATTAGGTCTTAAGAGAGCTAGTGGGTGCCCTAAGAAGTATAGCGGCGGGTCGAGTTTGCCTAGAATTTACGGTTCCCCTGTTCGTCACACGCCGGTCTTCGTTGTGCCCCGTTGAAGACTGTAGGTTGGCACGATACATGGAAAACTGGTGAAGGGGAAGGAGGGGGAGGGGAGGGGAGTATCGAAGGCAGACAAGGAAAAAGAAAAAAAGAGAAATGTGCGAGAGGTTAAAAATAGGCTGCCTGAAGAATCTCTGTACCCTATGACTCCATTGTTTCTTTTTAGATTATCATCATCACCCATAGCGGCCCATTTCCAAGGTCCTAACTGCACC